GTCATTAACCCATACATGATGGTAAGCAATACTTAACAATAGTTGATAATTAGAGAGGTGAATGCTTAAAGCGATTCAAAAATCGTAGTGAATGCATAATATATATATATTACCTGTTTTCCTAAATGACGAGTGGAAATACCATCTTTCGAAATTTGTAGAGGGAAAAGAACTTTTATAAAAGGTGTTTCCAAAATAACTTCATTTTTTAAATTTTTTACAAGAAGAAAATTTGTCTCAATCTTAAGCCCTTGATTTTCAATCACGGCTTTAGAAAGTTTGTAGTTAATTTTCAGCTTTGAACCACTAGCAGTGCTGAGTTTTTCAGAGGTTTTTTCGAAATATTTTGTAGGAATTAATCCTTCTAAAATACAGTTTGAATCAGCACCTGTATCAAAGAGGGCCAAAGTATCAAGAACAAAATCATCAATAACGATTCTGATATTAATATAAAATTTTTGTATTTTGACCTTATTGATCAAACACATAAAAGTTTCTTCTGGATTATCAGAATCAACCTTTACAGAATCATTATCTTCAGGAAGTTCTACTTTCTCAATGTCAGAATCATCATCTAACTGAGAAAGAATAACTTGATGAATTTGTTGTTGATCTTTGATTTCTCTGATCTCTTTTTTAAGATTATTTATCTCAATCTGGAGATCTTGTATAGTGGTTGGTTTAATCCTAAAATTCTTTTCTAATCTTTTGAAAATATTTGTAATGTCAAATTTGTTTGAAGTAAAATATTCTTTAGGTTTAGGTTTATTTTCTAAAACCTCTTTGAATTTATTTAAAAATTCTTTTCTATCTTGATGATCCGAAATAGAGCTTATAGCTTCAAAAAGAAGATCTTGTTCTTTTGTCAAAATATTAATTTCTGGAGTTTCGTCACTGTCAGAAGAAGAGGCTTGGTCATCATTCTGAATTTGGTTAACATCCTCTTCAGATTCTTTATCAGCGTCTTCACTAGAGGAATTAGCCAAAAGATGGTTAATCTGGTCTTCTAAAGAAGGATCCAAATTAAGACTACTAATTTTCTTTTTTAACCTGCAGTATTTACTAATATGGCCAGGTTTACCACAATTGTAACAGGTTATGCCTGTTCTGGGTTTTTTGGGAATATTGGTGGGGATGACATTATCCCCTTGTTTCTTAGGACTGGGTTTTCTATTGTACCTGCGTTTGTAGGGCTTTTTGTAAGGTTCTACAGCCTCTTTCTTAGGGGCATGTTTCTTTTTAGGAGAGCAGGATGGAAGACCAAACTGTTCGCAGAATGAACCTAATTCTTTCTTGCTCAAAGCTTTTTCTTTAGCAAGTTGTTTATGGAGTTTATCTTTCTGGCAGGCTTTAATACCACTATGGACAATAATAGCAGTAAACTTACCATAATCATATTTATCATAATTAATCTCTCCAGTAGGAGAACGACTTCGGAGTTTACTTCTAATAAGATCTCCGAATGCTTTAGGAAGACCATCAAGATATTTTTCTTTCCAATAAGCTTGGTTACAATCTTCCCTAGTAAGGACCCTAGACATAAAGGTATCTTTATACCACTTGAAATGTTCCAAGGAATCACATTTGAGTTTTGAAAGTAACTCACCTGATCTTTCCCTCCAAAGAGAAGGATCACCTAGGAAATGTTGAGATATTGTGTATAATAATGTATACACAGCATCAGGGAGACGCTCATTGTCATTAACAATGGTTTTCCCCTTATCATCAATTTTAACTGCAGAGAGGATATTATCTTTATCAGCTTCAGTGAGATAATTATCCCACCAACCTTTGAGTTGGCCAGTAAAACCGGCAACAAGAATATAGACAATGGTGTCTTCAGGCATATTTTGATTAGTAAAATAGCACATAGCGACAACCGACATGTTTTGAAATTTGGCAATGATATTATATTCAGATAATCCATCGATATTCCAAATATAAATATCATTAGAATTAAAACTTTGAATAAAATCATGTTTTTCTTCTAAAATAAGATCAGGAGCAGTAGCTCTATTATAATAAAGCTTAGAGGAATTTTTCCAATTATTGATTGGATTGATAGCTAAGATAGAATCTGTTTCAGAACAATGTTCTGAATCAGTCTTGGAAATGGCATTGATAGTCTTGGCAAGAGACCTAGTCCTGGGTTTAGCACTAGATTCTTCAGAGGGTTGAGGAGTGTCGGGAATAGTGGTAAGGAGGCTAGTAATTTTACTAAGCAACTCATTCTGGTTTTCCTCATTCACCTTGACTTTTTCTCTTTGCCTGAGTTTTAAGATTTTCTGCTTAGCTTTGGCACTAATCTTAAAAGGTTTAAACAGAGGTTTTTCTAATTGTAGTTGGGAGGATGAAGAAGATACTTCTTCAAGTTTGGGTTTGATAGGACTAACAGAGATTTTTTCTCCCAAAACCTGAAGGTATTTATTAGTATAATTGGCCTGTTCCATAAGGCCTTGGATATCATGAGGAGTGATAGACTCATCAGGATTTTTAGACTTAAAAGGAGTAGCAGTAACAGGGTTACCGCCTTTGTCTTTCAAATTGGGTAATTGGTATTGAGATGTGGGTGGTAAATCACTTTGGACAATTTGTCCGTCTTTGATTTGCCAGGATATAACATTAGCAGAAGAGGTACTAATAACATCATCTTGCCAAGGATAATCAATATTATTACGAATGGTATAAGCATGATACCAATCAAAGAATGGAATATTTTGTTTGACTTTTTCGAGAAATTGATAGAATTTCTCTTGGATGGCAGACCTATCTTTCCCCTATAATTTTGAAAGAACCACTCTCTTTGAGGTTTCCATTCCTCAGAGTAGAAATCTTTCCTAAGGGTTTCCTTATCTATAATGAATTTATGAGATAACATCATAAGACTCATTAAGGGAAGAGTAGGTTGGAGATTGGATACTCTGATTTTCATCTTCTTTTTCAGATGTCTGATAAACATTTCTAGGAATCCTAGAAGAAGTGTCTAAACCTTGAAGATTTAGAGAGGGGTCATGATTAACAGACCTAGGAATGTCAGGTCTAATATAAGGTCTAGAAAAGAAAGATCTTCTAGCAGAGACAAAATCAGATTGATTGCTATAAGCATCGATCCTTGAGGAGAAAGAGTTTCTCCTATCAAAGGTTATTTCAACCTTTCCAGAATTGTCCTGTGAGATGTCCTATATTTGAGGAGCAGGACGAGGAACACTGGGTGAGGCTTTATCCATCACCCATTTTTCTGGGAGAGTAACCTCATCCCATTTAATAATTCTAGGTAGAGAAACATTAGCCTTTGTCATATCAGAAGATAAACAAAGTAGTTTCTCCCTTTTGAGGCTTGAGAAAGACTCTAGAAGCACAAGAATTCATGACCTTATACTGAATCCTATAGATCAAGGCTGCGGGAATAGATCCCTAGTTAGATTACGCACCCGATCCAGCTATGGTCTCTTTCCTTTCAAAATTACTTTTTTTTTTTTCAAAAGCTAATAAGATAAAATGTCCAATACCATTTATAATAGAGGAGGCTTAAATAAATAAAAAAAATTACAGTAGTGCAGAGTAAATACATTAAAAAAATAAAAGTGCATATACTTATATCTTAATACAATTTAGCTTTCCAAAAACTTCAAACTCTCTCCCTTAATCCTAGGAGTTCTCCCTTTTCAGGCTTTTTTGCCCTTGTAGGGTTAATTTGAAAAGAAAATGCCAAAATAAGGCTGCATTCAAAGATATTCCCTGTCTGGGGTTGGAGTGGCAGGTGGCACTGAAGTCGTCCAGCGTAAGGGCGATACTCAAATAAAAAGCGTCCACTTATTAGACGACACAGGTGAAGTCGTCCAAAAGAGGGACGACACACATCTGACGTGACGACCTATGATAGTGTCGTCCCTGGTTGAGCCGACACAGCTTGTGTCGTTATATATTGGACGATTTTAATGTCGTCCACAACAGAGGCGATTTTAATGGTACCTCGTGTAAAAAATTTCGTCTTTGTCCAAGTTAAAATGTGTATATATATAGTAGGATGAAGCTCAAAAGAAAATGCAAGTAGCGAGAAGAAAGTGTGGAGCTGGGCAGGAATAACAGTGTGAAGCTGGACAAGAAATAATAACTATTGAGCAATCAGGTTAGATTTTAAGTATTATAAATATATAATTTATTTTTAATAGTTATGTAGAAATTTTAATTTGAATAATAATATTTAATTTATATTTTTAATGGCTTTTAAATATTAATGTTGTAATTTAATTTTTGTTGTTATGTTTGGAAATAAGGCAGATAACATATAATGTAAAAAATTAAATATTTAAATATTTGTAATTATAAATAAATTTAAAAATATATTTTGTTATATTATAAATTAATTTATAAATAAGCTTGGTTTATTTTAAATGCAGGATGAATGAAATTGTTGTTATATTATATTCAAATGGTAGAATATATGAAGGAGATTAAGGTATAATTTTTGAAGGGCAAAAAAAGATGATTAAGATAGAACGTGGGATCACATTTGAGATGTTTAAACAGAAGATCCACACAAAGCTGAAATTGTCAAGTTGTCACGTAATTTCTAGATTAATTTCTCGAATTTTAGTTGGGACAAATGGTTGATATCATACAACTTTAGATGTATGTGATGATGAAGACACAGATTGCATGATAAGTGCGTGTCAACAACCACATCATATGAATGTAGTTGAGATATATGTGGATGTTGCGGTGGGTGAAACATCTTCTGTTGTGGCACGTCCATTAGAAGTGAATTTATCAGTCTCATAACTTCATGAAAGTGATGATGATGATGATTATGCACAAAAAGAAGGTAATATGAATTTAATAATTTTTAAATTTGAAAAATTGATGCTGCAAATGCTATTAATAATATAAGTTTACAATGTACAGATGAAGATGATGAATATGAAAATGAAGAAAATATTTCATTAAATGATTTTTCTGATACTGAGACAGATGATGATGATTGAGATTCAATGATCAATATGGAGGGTATTGCAAGAGTTAGTTTATCGCAACAACAACATGGAGGTATGTTTTTTGTAGAACTTATAGTTGTATAAATTGTTATTCATGGTATAAAATTGACGAATGAATTGTTGTAATGCAGAAACTACATTGCCATTTTGGAATATAACCCCACATTACAGTCATATTAATTGGGAACACCCTGATGAAGAATTAGATTTTTTTGGAATGAATGAAGCGCAATCATGGAAGGAAAGAGATGCATTATATGCTGGACAACTATTTGATACTAAAGAAGATGTAAGAATGGCTATAAAACATTATGCCATGAGGAAGCATCAAACTTTTTTTGTGGTGGAGTCAAAAACAACAACATATGTTGTGAAGTGTGTCAATCACAATAGTGGATGTCCCTGGAGAGTTCGAGCATCATTGCCAAAAAATGCAGACAAGTGGAAAATTATAAAGTGGGGTGGTGCCCATACGTGCGTAAATGCTTCAATCTCTCAAGACCACCAAAAGTTGGATTCCAAATTTATTTGCTCATGCATTCTTGGTATGTTAAATTTAATATTAAATTAGAGAAATTTGAAATAGGAAAAATTTACTAATTTTCATCGTATTACATCCCAACAAATTTAATAATTAGCTCTTAATATATGACATGCAGGTATGGTAAAAGAAGAACCATCAGTGCCTATTTCGTTAATTCAAGAGAGAATTAGTGGTCAATTTGGATATTCAATTTCATATAAGAAGGCATGGAAAGCAAAACAAAAAGCAATTGTTACTGTATTTGGTGATTGGGACAAATCTTATGCTGCATTGCCAAGGTGGCTAGAGTACATGCAATTACATGCTCCTGGATCTGTATACAAAATTGAAACAACTGATTATGTTGAAGGTCACATCGTGGATAATAGATATCGAGTTTTTCATCGGTTGTATTGGTCGTTCAAGCAATGTCATGAAGCTTTTAACTTTTGTAAGCCTATAATACAGGTAGATGGAACATTTTTGTACGGTAAGTACCGACAAACTTTGCTAATTGCTACGACTTAAGATGGAAACAACTGTGTGCTTCCTATTGCGTTTTCCATTGTTGAAGGAGAAACCTTATCTGCATGGGAATGGTTTTTAGCCATGATTCGTATACATGTGACAAATAAGGCAGGGCTATGTTTGATCTCAGATCGACATCAAAGTATAAAAGGTGCAGTCTCTAACCCACATCTAGGTTGGCAACCTCCAAATGCTTATCATGTTTATTGCATTCGTCACATTGCAAGCAATTTCAATCGACGATTCAAAAATACCATGTTGAAGATGTCGGTCAATAGGAAAGCATGCCAACTGAGCTACCCCAACAAATCCAGCTAAGGTCAGATGAGGAAGAATCTCCATTGGAACCCCTTCCATGCCAGCCGGTATGAAATGACTCCTTCTCACCTTCAGAATTGGGTGCTCACGTCCATCCCAAATATGCTCTGATACGTGAACAGACTGAAACCTCAATAATGAACCATCCTCTGGCCCAGGATTTAAAACCCTACTCCGCGATGAAGATGATGTCATCTGAAATAAAATTTGTCAACTTAAACTTCAATTATGTATGTTAAAATTAATAATATCAAAAACTCTATTCAATTAGTACATGGGTTTTATTACAATTTCAAAATTTAAAAATAACTCTAAAATTTATTTCATTTAATTATTATATTGTTAAATTTTATTAACATTTTAAAAACTTTTACATTTTATTTTACAATTATAATATGTAGCAATAAATATAATTACATGCACTCTTTTAAATATCAAAATTTACAATTACAACAAATAAACAAATACATTATTTTAAATATTATATATAATTTTTAATATACTTTTTTCTTTCTGTAATTCAACCACAAAATTATTATTTTCTTAATTTCATTAAAGTGTTCCCTCACAATACTTAAAGTTTATTCCTATTTAAAGTTTAATTTAATTTTTATATTAATTTTTCCTAATTTTAAACGATTCAATAATTATGCTGGACAAGAAATAAAAAAAAAACATTGTTTCTAAAATTTTGTACAATTTTTTATGTTAAGGGTTGGCAAAAAAAAAATTTAAAGATGTTTTATTTTTTGGATTATAAGGAATATTAGTTTTGACAATAGTTCTCACAAATTATCAAGTAATATATAGTATTTTTTCCTCTTAATTTATCAATTAATTAAAATAGAAATTATTTAATATCATAATTAATACATATTATTGATTACATTTTTAAACAACTAATTATAAATAATAACACGTATATTATGTAATTTGTAATAATAAAACTTCTGTTATGTTAATTTTCATAAAATTATAATTATCTTCATTTATTATAATTATTCAATAATTACATTGTATTTACTATATCTAATATTTTTAATTTCACTAATTTTTTTATATATCAATCTACTATCAAATAATTAAAATATATTATTTCTTCTACATTAATTATTTAATATTTTCAGTGCATTCTATATATATTTTTTCATGTTCATGTTTTTTATTTTTTACAAAACTATATATTAATATATAATATTCTTTCTTCTTAATTTATCAAGTTATTATGTGCAGAATTTTTTTAATTTAATAATTAATACATATTATGTATTTATCAAGTTATTATCTGCAGAATTTTTTTAATTTAATAATTAATACATATTATGGATGACTATAATTTTTATTTATTACATTTTTTAACAAATGATTATAAATAATAACACATACATTATATAATTTTTAATTTCATTCCTATCTAAATTATTCTTTGTTTAAGAATAAAATGCATTTTAAAACTAATTTTATACCTTATTTATAAAATCTTTTCAAGTAAATCACATCAATTATAAAATTTGTAAAAGATAATAATGTATTATTTTTTACCAAATTAAATACTACATTCTTACTAATAATAAAACTTCTGTTATGTTCATTTTCATCAAATTATTATTATCTTTATTTATTATAATTATTCAATCATTATCTTATTTCTTAATAATTATATTAAATTTACTATATCTAATAATTTTTATTTCACTAATTTCTTTATATATCAATCTACTATCAAATAATTTACAATTATTATTTCTTCTACATTATTTATTTAATCTTTTCATTGCATTCTGTATATATTTTTTCATGTTCATGTTTTTTATTTTTTTTCTAAACAATTTATTTATATATATTATTCTTTCCTCTTAATTTATCAAGTTACTAAAATATTATTTTATTTCAAATTTTATAATTAATATATTTTATGGATTACTATAATTTTTTTTTTACATTTCTGAACTACTAATTATAATAAATAATAACATATATATTATATATTTTCTAATATAATTTATCTAATATATTATTTGTGACAGAATAAAAAAATTAATTAATAAATTCTTTAAATATTAAAATAAAAAACTTGTGCACCTCCGTAGCTTTGTAAACAAGTTTGAAGGAACCTTCTTCTTCACCAGTACCCTTCACTCACGAGCATCCACCTTCACCTGCATCACAGATTCAATATTACATACATTTGCAATTTTATTGTTAAAAAGCAAAATCTATTCAAAATATTAATCTCAATACCTTTTTAATAATCTTTTGCTATAAAACCTTAATACCAGAATTTAACAAAATGGTTCAGAAACGCAAGAAACGCTGTGTTATTTTTTTTTCCGGCAACCATATTTTGCAAGCAAAACGGAGAAGATGGAGGAGAAGGGAGAGGCCCGCGCCCAAACGGTCAAAATTCTCTGCCACGTGGACCAATTAAATTAGTGTCGTCCCTGACCAAGACGACACTACTGAATCGTTCCTGACACGACCAACATTAATGTCGCCTCTGACTCAGACGACACTGTAGGATTTATACACGTGGCTTAGTTCATCCTCAGCCGTCCATTCAAATTAATGTCGTCTGGTAATTGGACGTTTCTATTTTTTGGTGTCGTCCGTCTCATGGACGACTTCACTGCCACGTACCCACACAACCCCAGACACGGAATTTCTTTACATGCATGCTTATTCTGGCATTTTCTTTTCAAATTAACCCTAAAAGGGTAAAAAGCCCCCTTTTTCATTGTTGCACCTATTAAGCTAAAGTAATTTATTCATCTGTCTCACATGAATAAATTTGATAAAAGAAAAGACAAAAAAACATTATAAACATAGAAGTTTTATTTTGTGTTTACTTATTTCAATATTATTAAGTCCTTTGGCTATATTAAAAACTTGGACATGAGAGTTTACAGTTTTGTTCGATTTTTATAATTTTATCTGATAAAAAAATTATAAAATAATAAAATTATAGTAAGAGGCTGTGAAAATGCCAAAATGTGCTAAAATACCCTACTTTTTCTCCTTTTATTTTTCCTTTTTTCATGACTGCACTCTTTTATAGACAGAAAATGAAGAATACTCATCCCTTTTCTTTCCCCACAGAAACAACTACTTAGGAGGCTCCCTTTACCCTTTGAAGGTCTCTCTCCTCTTGCTGTTGGATGTTTTTCTTCCTTCTTCTAAATGGGTTCTTTTCTTTTTTATAGGGCTTTCTAGTTATATTTAGTGGTTTTATCTCTCAACGGGATTTTTTTTTTTAATTTCATTTCGAGGAAACCATATAGACGAGATTACTGTTAGTCATCATAAAAGCCGTCCTACATCGCTTTCCTTTAATGAGTTCAACATGTGCTATGAAGTGTGATTTGATGCCTATGAAAGGAATGATATTGAAACCCGTGCAGCCACTTGTGGCTATAGTCCAAACATGGGAAGCAAAAGGACAGCAAAAAAAAGAATGAAGGAGATCCTAGAAAATTGTGGCAAAGAGGTCATGCCGGAGAGGAGGGAGGACGCATGCTTTTTCTTCTTGCAAGATTGGTCCTTCACTCATTGTGGTCAAACGATCCAGCATAACATGCCAAGCTAAAGCTGGAGTCTCGCTAGGTGCGGGTCAGCACCACAACTATTTGTATATGACCATCGAATCTGTGCCATTATTAGCTAAAACAGAACCGAGCCATTGTCGCAACAAAACGTAGTATTTAGATTTTGTCGTGTAGGTACCGATTTCATCGTATTCTATCTCCATGTATCCAATATATCGGTATTGAAGGTAAACAAAATTGACCAAGGAGAGAAGAAAATTATTAAAATATTACTCAAAGAGACATTTTAACCTTTTTTTTTTTCAAAAATTATTTAATAAAAATAAGAATGTATTGTTGAGTGAATATATTATTGGAGGCCATAAATGGCTATCCAATCATCAATCCTTTCTTCCCAATCTCACATGAGAATTTTTGAAGCAAAAGGAGGACTAAAAGAAGATCTGGTCCTACATGGTGTTTTTAATTCCCATTATGTACGACATCACACATCAATCCACACTTTGCATCCTCTGGTCAAAAGGGTTTGATTTCATATGCTAGATCATCTTTATCGATCCCTTAGCCGTAGCAAATAATCATCCGTTGATTAGCAACATGTTGGAGGGTCTATGGAGGTGCACAACGCATGGGACACCCTCATGAGATCACTTTCTAGTCCTTGTTATGGCGTCTTAGACTTTGATAAAAGTTAGCCGAACAGGATTGTACTTGGGTTTGTTTTTTATTCCCAAAATGTTTGTGGGAATTTGTTGAATGACGAATGTGTCCCTATTTAATGCATGCGACAGAAGATGATTAGGAGTGAAAGTACGAGTGCAACTGCGTAAAGTAAGGGGCATTAAGTCTGTTTCGTCTTTTTTGCGCTTTCCACTAACTCCTCTCTCACACTTGAGTTCTTACCCATGCAATCTCTTTCAAAGTGACTCTCACTTTCGCACAGGCGCGTGCAAATAACCAGTGGTTTTGCGATGTCCAGAGTTTGTAGAGCCTTGAAGCACAAGTAGCGGAATTCTTATGCATATGTTTTAAATCGCAGAATTTTTTGTTTGACCCAAAAATTGTTATTGAATAAAATACAAATAGACACTGAAATTAGTTTAATATGATTTTCTTTATCATACTCAGCATTTTATTTGA